TCTCAAACCATCGTTCCTCTCTGTCCAGGATGTGAACATCTTCATCCCTGAAAGAGTGACCGCTGGCCTGGAGATGAGTGTAGACCTCAGAGTCCTGGCCTGATGATGTTGATCTTCTGTGCTGGTCCATCCTTTTGGCCAGTGGCTGTTTAGTTTCCCCGATGTAAGACTGATCACCCTCCTGACACTGAACAACATACACAACATTACTCTGTTTGTGCCGGGGGACTGGATCTTTGGGATGAACCAGTCTTTAATGTATTTTGGGGTTTAAAAGCCACTGGGACGTTATGTTTAGAAAATAAACGTCTCAGTTTCTCTGATACTCCCTCAACATATGGAATGACCACTGGTCTGGGTCTGCGTTCCTCCTTTTCACTTGTTGGCTGACTGGAGTCCTGTTTGGGTTTCTTCTTTCAGGAAGGCCCAGTTAGGATATCCACATTGCTCTAGAGCCTGTCTTGTGTAGGATTTCTCCTTCTGCCTGGCTCCTGAGCTAGTGGGGACGCTGTCTGCTCTGTGGTACAGAGTCCTGATGACTCCTAACTTGTGCTCCAAAGGGTGATGGGAGTCAAACTGCAAATACTGGTCTGTGTGGGTGGGTTTGTGGTACACCTCAGTTTGCAAATGTCCTCTATCAGAGACTGAGACCTCACAGTCCAAGAAAGCCAACCTGCCTGAGCTGAATACAGCACCTCAGACTGAAGAAGTCTTTCGGATGAAAGATGAAACATTTCTACAAATTTTTTTTTTTTTGAATGTCCAGAGGACCAGATTTAACTTTTTTAGATTTTTCTACCTGGATTATTGAGCATGCATCAGGATGTTTAACAATCTGTTAAAATGCACCAAAATACAGGAAATGTCATCTCTCTTGTTCCAAATTTATTTATTTAATTATCTTTCTATCTATTATTATTATTATTATTATTATTTAATAATCGCTTCCATCATCTGTTCCAGACCCATCCTGGTCCTCCTGTCTGCTAGAATCGGGGTTCGGCCTTCATGATTACGTGAGGCCGGGTTCTGGGCAGCGGCCTCCTGCGAGTCACCAGCTTGTATGATCCTTCGCAGTGACCAGCGGAGCTTGGAGCACATAAGGCCGGAATCGTAGCCTGAGCCCCGAGTCGGCACCACAGAGGATCTTCCACGGACACCAGTGGAGCTCGAATCTGGGAAAATGATGCCTGGCTCAGAGTCTCCGGGGGAGAGGGCCAGGGTAGACCAGCAGAGCTCTATCCAGCTCGCTCTGAATTTTGTTGTCGGGCACCAAGTACAAAAAACTCCAGCACTTCAGCATTTTTAGACCAAGGTGTTGTCATTACTGTTTTTAAAATAGGTCCAGCCGCTGCTCCAGTCCAAGGAATTGCAAATGGTGGATCAGTGTTTTGAAAAGTTTCTGAAAGATCCAGTGACTCTGCCCCGACCAATCAGTGACCGACAGTGTTCTGACGTCACGTTTTCATACCTACTAAGCCCGGTCAGAACCACAGAGCCAAGGGTTCGGAAAAAAGGGACCGGTTCTATGTACTGTTACTAATGGAAAAGCCTTGGAACTGGGCTGAGTCGAGTCCAGTCTGGCCGTACTGTCACTAATGGAAAAGCCTTGGAACTGGGCTGAGTCGAGTCCAGTCTGGCCGTACTGTCACTAATTGAAAAGCCTTGGAACTGGGCTGAGTCGAGTCCAGTCTGGCCGTACTGTCACTAATGGAAAAGCCTTGGAACTGGGCTGAGTCGAGTCCAGTCGGGCCGTACTGTCACTAATGGAAAAGCCTTGGAACTGGGCTGAGTCGA